CGAATAACCACCGTGTTGGTGAACGAAGGCGTAAGGTGGCATCTCATTCCACCTCGATCACTCCATTTCCAAAGTTATGGAAGGCTGCAACCAAAACAGTTAAACGATACCTCGTCAGCATAGTTGGAGGCGTTATTAATACTCGTTGTTCAAATAGAAGCAATCTTGAATTCCTGTTCTTTAACGCCTCTATCATCCGATCCGAACGACCTTATTCCTGAACACTTCCTCATTAGCGAACCGCTCACGAGTATACCTGATGATCCATACATCCCTCGCCATCGTGCCAGACGCATGATTGTCTAGCTGAAAATACGTCGAAAAACTAAAACAATATTTTTAGAAACGGTGAAGTTCCGAATACTTGCAGGAGCAAAAGATGGACACAGACCATCGGCGTCTTGGTCGTGTTGCGCGAGAACAACATTCTACCCATGGCCAATAGAAAGAATTGTTGCAGTTCATCCAAGCGAAGACGGTGTCATTCCCGTGGTTACGGTAAAGATATTCCGCGGAATTTACAAACGCTCCGTAAGGAAAATCGCACCACTACCTATGTAACCATCAGACGAAAACTGTGACTATCACAAGATGCATAGCGAACACCAGCGATACGTCACATTTTTGGGTACTGATCAACCCGTTTAAGGCAGATGGTATGTTGAAACTCAAGTAGCTTTAAGAGACGAGAAACCGAGATCGAGCATTCGCCATCAAAAAACACCGGAACATTCTAAATTGAGACGTCAGACTTTTTATTGGCATGAAAAACTTTTTCGATAAATATAGAATGTACAGTAGGAGCTAATTGTTCGCTCACATTTCATGCCGATAAAAAGTCTTAACGGTTGCCATACTCGATCACGGTTAAAACCTTTCGTTGTCGACGACCGGGGGCCTGTTTTGTTTAGCGTCTTCAAAGAGTTGACTTCGGTTCACCACACAACAATATTTGAAAATTAACGCTATCTAGATCCGAGCAATCGAACAATCAATTTGATTGGTGGTAATTCGCTAGTCAAAATCTATAAAACAGCCGGCAGCCGGGAGGGAGATATAAGACGTCAAACTACGAAGATATACGTTACACAGCCGATTACAATATACGAGAAATTCGACAAACGTAGTTTGTCTGTTGAGTCGGTAGGTAGATAGGAAGATTTGTGTCATCAGTCAATAGAAGCCAGAAGACTTTGACTCTATCTATGGAGACTTTAGTTTTAATGCCATTGATCGTTTGGTAGGTAAGAGAGGATTTCTAAGTAAATCGATAATACTATTAATAATCATTATTCTCTGAGGAATAATAAAACACGTGAATTACGTGATGTTTCATCTTACTAATTTTCAACTGTAAAATCTTTCACTTTCATTTTCAAAGAATAACGTTTCACATTTTGCTCTTTGTTTTCTTTCTGATCTAACAAATATGTGTTGATGAAGGAATTTGCCGATGATACACTTGTAAATTCCATTATTTTTAAATAATTCATAAACTATCTAAAGAATCTTTGGATGAAGAAAATGTGACAATTTTCTTAGTGAACACTTATCAAAAAATTAAAATACTATTTATTTATTTTATCATGGTAAAATACTTACCAACGAATTTAGAAGCCGATTTGATTTTAAAACTCTTTGTTATTCGAGCTATTTCAGAATTGTCCAGGAGTACGCACATGAATATGTTGCAACAGTTCTTCGTTCTGTAACATTTACTTGCAGTTCCGATGCTTACTGAATATAACATCACTGATATAATGTAAAATAATCATCTACATTTCTGATTCGCGCCGCTGTACGAAATATTAAGAAAAAGGATGAGTTGAAGCGATTATCAATTTTTCATATTTCAACCAACATATATAAATGAAATTTCAAAATTCCTCGTCGTATTCTATTTAATTCCAATAATCACACCAAAGGAGATAATGAACTTGCTCCAATTTGGAAGAAGATCACTTTTGGAATTCTTTTTTTATGAAATAAATTTCGTCTTATGCATAGCCATTTGTAGAAAATTCTATCTAAACTAACGTAGTGATATCATCAGTGATTCCACGCGTTTTTCCCAGGATTATTAAAATCGCCAAATCATTTGGATCACATCAAGCATCTACATTCGGACCGATTCCTGCAGGACAGCGAGATGTCTGTTTCTTTAGATTCTTTCGTGTCTACAGTGTGCGTATCATTACTTTACTCTGCAAGCAGTTCATAATTTTAATTAAATAGCTCGATAGATTCCTCCTCGTCATTTCTTGCATAATAACACTAAAGTGGAATATCATTAAAAGCGTTTTCTTTACCAATCTATTCTAGATGTCCACAATACCTTGTGCTATCTGACTCTAAATGATACAGGTTTAAAACGCAGAAGAGTAGTATCTGTACAAATTGTACCAGCCTGTATTCTTTCAGGCACCTAAAAAAATTGTAGTGGATGAATAATTAATTAATTAATTTAAAGACAGAGATGATTCCCTTCCCCTAGTTTGTGCCATGGACCCTAAAAACGCCATATCTTAAACCATATACATGAGTGAAAATCCAGAGAATAATATGAAAAAACTTTCATCATTTCAAGATACTAATAATGATGAATATATTATATATTATGTGTACCAATGGAAAGTGAAAATGGTGACAATTTGGCTATGCTCAGTGGATCATGAGCATTCCTTAATAGTGAGAATATAATGAATGGAGATAAAAAATACGAGGAAAATAATTTTTCATGATCCTCCAATATTCGCAACAGAAAGTGGAAAAATCCCTAGGATAATCATCCAGCAATTGTAATCAACCAAACAGTTGCTGGGTCCCGAGATTCTCTTTTGCATTATAGTGGCATATAAAATCTTTTTAAAAATACAGTAGAATACAGCTGTATGAGAAAGAGAAAATGTGATTGAGATATTTTTTAAATTTATTAGTTAAAATAAAGTTATTACTAGTACTAGGATAAAAAAAAAATACTGGTGAACCAGCTTTTTGTTTATTTTTAATTGATATTTTAGTTAATTTTATTTATAATATTTCATATAATTAATTCAGTCTCGATACAAATCAAGTTCTATTCGATTGTGAGGGGAGTAACTATGCTCCAGTCACCAGGCAGAAAGACGGTGAAAAAGAAAAAGTACACCACTGGATTCTCTTCGCTTGAACGACACTTATACCTCAAGAGGTGGATACATAAACCACGGTACGTACAATTTGAAGCCTACTTAGACCTGTGGTAAGTTAACGACGGACCTGGCAAGATCGGGATTACTCCAATTCCCACAATTAAAATACAGATCAGTAATTGACAAGACTTTCTTAGATAGCACAAATATGGATAAGGATAAGTTGTTAGATAATATTAATTTACTTAAGTTACATCGTGTTTATGGACGAGTAACTTAATTTATCTCAATGATAGCCTATCCCATATAATGCCACATGTTCTTTTTCGCTATTTCTATATTATAAGTCGATCAAGGCTTTAGATTAGAAGTTTGCTTTGATTTCATTAGATTATTCAAATATATAAGTATTATTATTATTATTGTAATTATTAATTGGTCTTTTAATATTAAATATGTGCCAAGAATATACGTCAACTACTGAAACTTATCAGCAGAGTATATGAATATGTAAAAAGTATTAATTTTTTTTTATTTTATTTATTTTCTTAAAAATTCTAAATTTTCTTTCTAAAAAGTTTTTTTATTTTGTATTGTTACTGCAACATTACAACATTTTTATAATATTATAAATAACTAGTATTTTTACATTTGCATATTTATTTTATTTTTACTCTTATACATTGTTTCTCAACTTTCAAATATTACGTTATAACCTTATTTGATATGATTCGCTGTTAAACTTTTATAACAATCAATTTCTATGATTTATACGATTAAAATAAAATTGAAGATCTTGTTTATTATTATTTTGTGATACAATAGTGAAATGTTGTATTAAAAAATAATTATAGAAATCTGATTTCATGGATTTGTGGTTTCTTCATTGTTGTACAGTTTTCATGGTTGTATTAAAGTAATAATAGGAATGTAAAAATTAATAAGAATGTGAATTGCATAGATTTGTGATTAAAACTTTAAAAAGATTTAAATAAATTGTTTTATATATATATAAATAGAAATATATATAAATATATATAAATATATATAAAATACATATAAATAAATAAATATATGTATGTATATATATACACATATATATGTATAGATATATACATATATATGTATATATATATACATATATATATACATATATATGTATAGATAGATAGATAGATAGATAGATATAGATATATTTTATCAGGATATGTAACAACATATAATAACATAATAAGTTTCCAAATTAAAGTAATAAAACTGCAGATAAAAATAAATATTATTTTTTACTTTTTCACTATTTATGAAATATTTGATAATTTTTCGGATTTCGGATTTTTAGATTTCAATGGTATTTTCAAACATAAAAGAGCCATTGGACTTTTTTAAGTTGCTTTTTACCAATGATTTTACAAGGTGATACTGAAGTTTGAAAAAAAATATTGAATATTGAAAACAAAATATTATCATAAATTATATAAAATATAATAAGATGTTGATCGAGCAGACTAATATGCCTCGATATGCTGTTTTCTAAAAGTCTTTGAAATCATGGCGTAAGCTATTTTTTTTAGAATTTAGAAATATTAATTCAATTAATTCCTACATACTTCATAAATCAGTAAACAGAGAAACGATGGGCAGCTTAGTCATCTGCGGTACGTAAAAACTTTGGTTGACCAATTGAGAAGAGATTTCCACCGGACTCGTAATCGAGTTTCTACATCGATCTCCAGTTTCAATGAAATCCGTTTAGCTGGAAAACTGCATCTCATTTTAGTAGAAGTTAAGAAGGATTATAAGATTTTCTCTCAACGAAATAAACCCAGTAAAAGATATCAAACAATATGTTATACGTTACTGTGATATGTGTCCCGACAAGCCGAAAATCCATCTTAGCGATTGTTTTATAAAATATCATACAAAACAAATATAGAGCTTAACATATTTAACAAATTTTCTTCTTTGAAATATAAAGATATATAAAACATTAAAATATAATAGTTTTATATGTTAATTTGTATTTGTAATCTGTATCTGAAATTATTTTAAGTTAGCTGTAAAAAATTCACCAAATATACAGAAATCATCTCGAGTTGCTAGTTTGCCCGAGCAAAAAGGCCTCGAGCGTAAAGAGTTAAATTATTAAAACATTAACATTGATATAACTAGGAATCCGCATTCTGCCCATTTGATTTATTAGCGCTTTCACAATAATAAGTTCTCGTACATAAGTTAAATAGAAAGAATAAAACAAAAGAATTAAAAAGAAAAAGGAATAATACATAATAAAATTAAATAGAAAAAATAACACAAAAAAATTAGAAAAAAAAGAATAAAATTAAGAAGAAATATCACATATGTGTCTTCGGAGAAAATACATAGAATAATAGATTCGGAGAAAATATGCCGTTAGAAGAAAGACTAGAGAATGGCTGTTCTGTAGTGAATTTAATATCAGTACTGGGAGTGCAAATGTGAGATTGGTTATTAAATACGAACGAAATACTTCGTGAATGGAGAATCAAAATTTATTAGATGTAGAGCTATTTCTTACAAGAGAATTATACCGTATCTAACTGGCAATTAAACGTTCCTGAGAATTACACTGTATTCCGTTCAAAATATTAAATCGTTTCTATCTGCGAGCCTCTCTTTATTAAAAAGCGTCGATTTAATCCAGTCAATCATATTCGAAGCATGAACATTTAATTGCTCTGCTGTAGGCCATCTAAAAACGGTAAATTGAAACATCGATAAGATGGTTGATGTTAACCGTTTCTAAACGACAACAAACAGAGCAAGTTTGCAAGTCAATTGCCGTCTTGATGTACATGATATTTCTGAATCCTGATTTCGTAAACATAAAATGGAGATATTCAAAGAAACGGAAAATATAATATTATAAACAAAATCAGAATTCAAAGCGTGAAAACATTCGGTATTTTTGTGCTAACAATAATAATATATTCAACCTTATTTATAATAATATGATTAGGTGGCGATTTTTTAGTACGACCATCTCGAAGCAAGAACGTTATCACTTTCATAGAAATTATTGATATTTGTTCGACGCTGTGCATCAAATGCATCTCCATCCGTTGAGAAACCGATAGCCGCAATTTCGTTAAAAAGAATAGAGATAGGAACAAAATAGAAAATAAATAGAAAAAAAAGGCATAAAAATCTATTAAAGAAGTTACGATGCAAATTTAAAAATTGTTCAATGTAGGAGCAGGAACGGCCGTATTTTCTGGAAACCCTGCTTTCACCAATGACACCAACTGAGATGTGCCCCACGTACATATTTCTAGACCAAGGAAATGCTGTACCCTTTCATTGCATCCACGAAATTTGTTTCGTTGTCTGAATGAATGTTGTGGTAAATTCCACTTCGCGCAATGAATTATTTTAAGGCTACGATAAATGCGACATCTTTTCTTTATACAAGAAGGACAGTAATCCACATAGTAAGATGGTCGGTGACTCATGCGATCGGTAAATTGCGGATTACGTAGTTCGCGGCAGATGGGTTTGTATGAAGCATTTGTTATATTGACATATGATCTTCCAAATTGCGCTTTTTCTATTGACGGGCCAATTGTTATAGAATATTGTTGAGAATAGAATTTATTCCTGTAGAAGATGGAGTGATGGTAACAAGATTATTACAGACATCTTCCAATGCATAAAATTCTCTTCCAAAAAGAGATTGAGTGGGAAAAGCTTATTTTCATAACAGATAATTCTGAAAATTAAATTGTGTATTACAAGCTCGAACATTGAAGCTTGTAATAATCTCATTATTCGTTTGTTGACGAGTCGATGGACTACTGCTAATGATGAGATGAGGAACCACTGAAGATGATTTAAGTCTAGATCATAGGTTTTGATCTAGTCGTTGCATCATAAAATTTGTTGGAACCAAATCTTCAGGTCTTCAGAACGGACGAGAAATTGCCAATACATTTTCTGAATGTCGCCAATGGAAACGTACGTATGCATCCAAAATCGAAGCAACAATAGTAAGATATCTTCTTGGATAATTAAACCGCTACTAGATTTCGCGAATACATCGAAAATGTATCTTTATTGTTATGGTGGATGGTTTAACGACCAATACGGTAGCATATAGAAATCCTCTGAATACCGCAACGATACAGGACTCATGTGGCCGAAATTCTCGTATATTCCCGTTTTAAATCAGAATCACAGTTTGATCTTTGCTCCAACGAGAAGAATGGATTTAGAATTCGCGAATGTGACTGTCCAGGTTGTATCTTTTTTTCGATGAGTGGAAGAGCGACTATAATGCCCTGATTTGTCTCGATTTACAAAATGTTGTTCTCATTCTTGTTCCTGGAAAGGTCAGGTGTGGTAGTTGAGATTCTTCCTCAATTCCCAGAATTTCTTGAGATCGAAATATAGCGAAGAATGTCTGAGTGATGTTTCAGTTGTGATGCATTTTCCGATGATCAATCCAAACTTTTTTGAAGAATCACGTTCCGTTCGTTGTATGGATATCATATTGTTCTGCACGATCAACTAGATATGGGGTGACTGTGATCACTGTAGATTTTCTAATTTTATATTGGCAGCAAGTTTGAATTTTGTTCGATTGATCTTGCGATTCACGGAATCGTAAAAAAAAGAAGAGTAAATGTTCAATATTGGAGAAGTATGATTTGATTGTTGTCTAGAGAAGTTTACTAACGATCGTGCTTAACTGCAATTTAAGCTTTCTATTTTCGTAGCATGATTTTTTTCGGAAATCGTAATCTTCCCGTGATAAAGTTGCCGCTTGAGCATGTGTCAATGAAGATCTTGCATTCGATCTAGAAAGCGAACAATCGCAATGGCCATTAACCTGTTTACAGGAATGCCGTAGAAATGATAAAAATGGTGTCACTGATTTTCCGGTGATAGACACTCATTTCGACGTCTTGATGCAATTTAGTTACGCGGTTTGTTATTAACTCGATATCTTCCAGCTTTACGATTGTCGGAAAGCAAACAATTTAAACATAATTTCGCAATTTTCATGGCTTCAATGCGCTCTCGAATTGTCATTTTACTAAATTTTATGCATTGATGTACCACATACGTGTTACATATTTTGTATTTAACTTTATGTGTTGCGTCATTGCGTTTAAGGAGACGATGGTGGCTAAATAGAATTCGTCGTATTCGTCATGAATTGTTTGACGCCTTTATGATTGGTATTGGCGTTGTGATTAAATTGTGATCACGATAAAGCCTGTTTCATCAAAGTTTCATATAATCCACGTGATATTGCGATGATCGTTATTTTGTAGATATATGATCGAATTCTTTGAATTGGTGCGAATCATTGAAGACGCTGTGGACAGGTACTTCCGTATTATACCAATGTTCGTTTGCAGACTGTTCCATGACGTTTCTACGCTCATTTTCGTTACGAGATGACGATGCTCAATCGCAGATCATTCACTATAATTTGCCCAACGCCTGCAGTGAATATACAGCTAGATATGATTTGCTAAATCACGGATATCGTGGGTGCGTCACTTAAAAGAGTGGTGCAACACGAGAGAGCGTTTGTTATTGTATATTTCTGATAAATGATTTCAGGCAGCTTCATAATTATCTTCCGATTGTCACTTCGATCTTTCCAAATAATAATAGATGTAAATAAAGCAATTTTTTAATTTTACCAAATCTTAAAAATTGCATTAATCGGCATATTAAATGCATTTTCAAGCGTGACCCACATTTTTATTCATCCGCCGAATTTCGATAGGTAGATTTTTGACAAATTTATCGAAAGCAAAAACGGTGGCGAAGAAAGTGCAGTTGAGTAAAACGATCGCATTATATCATCATAACAATCTGTTGTAATTGTTCGTTCATACTTAATGTTCGGATTTATTGTTAATTGTCGGGGAAAACAATGATACAACAAAATCCAATGATGCAACATATTCGTCAGTGCGACATTAAATTTACTCCGTAGTTAGTACGTAATACAATCATTTCGTCGTCAGTGCGTATCGCTGCGATTTTGACTATAGTCAGTCTTCCGCTATAGCACCAACACATATTCATTTGCATATAAATATTGCAGTCCTACTCGTTACTACTCGTAATTTCTGGTCCTATATCGTAATCGCTCATTCTTCACTTTCATTATACTTCACACATAGTCGTTATCGGCCTCAAATGCAAGCATGCGAATCGTGTCATAAACGAAATTTTCGATGAGTTCTAATTCGTCCTTTTATTGAATGTTTCTAATTGATTTCGCAGTCTTTGAATACAATCGTGTAATTATCAAGATTCCATACGTTTCTCTTCGTGGAATTTTAATGATTTTAGATCCAAATATCGAACGTTGTTATTTGTATTTTGAAAAAGCGTCGTCCTTGCTTCAATCCACAAATGCAGGTCACAATTTTGTAGGACACAAGAGTTAACGTCACCATTTTAATCAAAAGGGAAATGAACGAAGGCAAGAAAGAAAATTGATTGACAATTCGCATGCAACGTCTACCTTCGACTGGATTTCACTATTGTCTTTTGACCACACGTTAGCATTGATGAGATTAATTTTAAAAGGTACTTCGTTTCTTTCAGGATCTCAGCGTTATTCTCTTTGGATGAGAATTTGATCTCATTTCATGGTATGATGAGATCCGTTTCACTATACCATACTATAGTCTAAACTATAATCTAAAGACTAATACTAGTCTTTGTGCGCACACTGTACTTCTATAGATCGTGGACTATAAATTGTCAATAGCGATGCGAACTAAATGTTTACTCACTAAGTTACGATGTCCACTAAATTAATCTCGCACAATAGATTCAACTATGATAGGCATCACGAACAATAGACGCATTACTGATCGTTCTAAGCTGATCTGTCTGATTTCGAATAACTAGCGAAAGACTGTTGAT